TAAACAAAATGAAAATAAAAATAGTCAGGAATGTATAACTCTTTACTACCTCAACACAATGCAGGAGTGACCATCATGAACTTGCTACAAGGCTTGGTCCAGTGGAAATGTTGTACTTTGTTGCAGCTATTAACAAGATGACCTATCCTGAAAGGCACCTTGAACCTCTCTGAAACCTCGATGAACTCAGCCTTTCTCTGTGAGGGCAAAAGGAATACACAGAGTTCATTTCAAAAATAGTCTAGAATTTAAGTAAATTAATGTGTTGCTTTTCAATTGATAACCTCAGTTACATTAGCCTCAGGATTAGCCTTTTAGTAGAACCTAGACAGTGACAGCCTGAATATTTATTCAGAYGTTCCACAAGACAAAACCAAGGACATTCAAAATTAAATGAGGCTAAAATCTCACACTTGGTGAATTGTCAAGGAGTCAGTCAGGATACCTTCAGACAAAAGAGAAATTAAAAAAAAAATCAATAAAACAACCAACCCCACTAACCCAAAACAATCCCAAAAGCTTGAGTAATCTACTCAAAACTATCAATCTAGAAGTTATTTAAAGAAAGCAATGTTCATGGAAATCATTATGCAGCAGGGATTTCCCATACCTGGAAAACCTCAGAGAATTCTGTCTCATCCTCCTCAAGAGTTAGCCTGAGCAGTATACAGACTTACTCTCTTAAGGTTTAGATATTTTTACTGTTGTTGCTGTTTAATTAAATAAGCCCTTTAATTTTATCCCAGAGCACAAAGAAGTTAAGTTGACTGAATCAAGATGGACAGAGATTAACTTTTGAACATTTATCAATGTCTTAACTCTGCAATGCAGAAGATTTGGGTTTTAGTCAGATGCTGTAATTTTTAAGCCAACTTTTCAAAATCACTGGGGGGAAGGAAGAGGTAATACCTCTTTTCCCAAATTTCCTTTCCTTCCTGCAAAGCTTATTTTATCTCTTAAAAATTTTTTGGGCCTAAATCTTCTTTAGTGCAAAAACGTAAGAACAGACAGAAATACCAAAATCTTGAGAAAAAGACCAAGYTCTTTAAACTAAATATGTTTTGAAATCATAAAGCTCAAATGTTTAGTCTGTGTGTGAGATTTCCTTCAACTTATCTTCACCAGGATGCGGTTAGGAAGAACAGGATGTGTCTAGTATAATAATAAGGCACTAATTCRTCTGTGTATGTTTTTAAGATAATCTTGGAATTCTTCTGGGTGAAATATAAGACAATGCATGAAAATTAAAGTGACAGATTATGAATATTTCAAAGATAATAATTTATATTTTGCTTGTACAATGACACACCATGCAAATTTTCTTGTCTACAATGTTACATTTTAAGGCTGATTATTTTCCCTTTTGRTGAAAATCATATTTTGACTGGGAAGATACACATATAATGGTGTATACCACTGCACTAGCACAGACTGTGTACCTCCTAGAAATAAATGGTGATTATGTGATACTATTATTGTWATGGAATATCTAAATACTTAAATTTTAGACTAATAAGTTCTGATGAGCAATATAATCACAGATAGGTATAAAACCTCTTTTTCTAAAAAACATTTTTTCTAAAAACCTCAGAAAGGTTAAGAGAGGCCAAGGTCTATTTTTGGAAGTTCCTTTCCTCAGTGCTTATGAAAATTCAGATGATAAATATAGAAGGAAACAACTGCCTGCTTTAACACTCTCACTCTTTTTCGATGTAACTTKTGACAGAGTTATTGTATAGAGTCCCAAAAGATACGGTGCAACCTAACAGCTCCCTGCTGCAAAAGCGAATTTGATGAAACTCTGCTGGACACATGTGAAACCAACTACTGAGGATCAGAGCCACACAAAAAGAAAAATCTTCCAGTAGCAATTTTTTTTTCATTTACTCAGCTACTGTACAGCCCATGATGACTTGTTTTCCTTTAGTTATATGAACAGTTTGACAGATTACTGTGACAAGGTTACTCTCAAATTGATAAAAGGTTTGATMGTGTCGGAACATTTGTCAGAAATGTCTCACATCACGTGTAATGGACTCTGCRCTTCGAGCATCAATGGCACTCCAATCTGCTGTTTAGAGTGCAATGYACACCAACAAAAACACACAGCAGAAAAAGAGAAAAGCAGGCARGATTCATCAAAACAGCCCCTACGTTATCAAACAATTCTGATTAAAGGGTTTCTCTTCCTTAACCCACCTGGCAAAATGCAATTAAATTAAAATCTTTACACCTGATTTAGAGTATGGCCTCCTTATGATGGGAATAAACMTGAAAATGGGATGGGATATGGTAGTGTACATAACATAAGCATTTCCAGCATTTCCTGTCCTTCTGAAAGAGAAATGTTGTGGGTTTAGAACACTATTCCTCAGCCTGCCAAATGTGAGACATAASAAGTGACAGTTGTACTGCTAGCAGCCTTGTCCCATGCTAGAGCAGAGGAAATGGGTTCAGAAGGGCTCATTTTAGGCACTGGCAGTCAGCCTATGGGAACCAGTGTGCTGGGCGTAAGCCAGCTTTGGTGAGTACCTCCCTTAAACACAGCTCTCCAAAAATACTGTACTACAAAATAATAATACGGTTTATGGATTGGAATTGAGGTTTTCACATCTTGTAGCAAATGATGCTAATAGTAGGCTATGCAGGAAGCCTAAGAGTAAGGACCTTCTGCTCTTTTGTGAATACTGGCTCACATAGGGACTCCAATGCATGGTGAAGCTCCGGCCATGTCCTCTACAGAGGACAACCTTTCTGAGCAGAAAAAACTGTCTTGTTCATATAGCAGCAGATGGTTGGTTTTGGTTTTAGTGGGGTTTTTGGGGAGGAGGGTTGGGTTTGAGGGTTTTTTTGGGAGCGGGGGCAGATGAAGAGATAAGAGCTTTGGACCTTTATCTACCTCTACTATGTAACCACMTGCAAAGGTAAAGAGAATATCTTGCAGTATATTACTTGAAATCTACATGTTGCCAGCACAAATTATTGTGTTTTCAAATATTTAAGTTTCCCTACATTGTCTTTCCCTTCTATTTTGGTAAATTCTTATAATTTTCTGAAAAAAGAAGTCAGAAGAACTATCTGGTTTCTCCTCACTGACATTCAGCCAAAGGAGAGAAAAAGCAGCAAAACGAATGTCAGCGTTTTTCTTAAAGAGCATCTGTTCACACAGGAACCCCATGATAGCAAGACAAAGCCCTCTAATCTTACAGCAGATTAAGTTTAGTGGAGCACATTAAAAATTCTGCCACAGTGCTAAAAGGAGGCTCTCAGATACTTGATGTGCACTTCCCATACGCAGACAGGGGTAGGGACGCGCTCTCTGAACTTCATGATTCAAGTATCACTGCTCACACACCACAGCCTCACACCGCGACAGCAGCACTAACACCAAAGCTGTGACACTCCTCCAGGAATAGTTAGATCAGTCCTGATCAGCTGAAAGCATCTATGTGAGYTGCAGAAGGGTCACATTGCAAGAAGATGTATCGCAAAATAGTTTTTTGAATGTCAGCAGACTACAGTCAATTTATACCTACTGAGGATCTGGCCCTTGAACTGGGATTATCTGTGACTGTCACATGTGGGAAGTGTCAATGAATGAAGTTTGTACAAATGTCAGACAGGTACACTCACATTTCAGTTTGCATGAAATATGAAACGTCACCAGCACACTATTCTCCTGTGAACAGTGAGTCACTTCTACCCACAGAAGCTTTAATAGCAGAAAGTCACAGGGAAGAGTTTCAAGCTCACAAAATTTTACTCAAGTCCAGATATCACCTCAGTAAGACTGGCTCCAGTTCTAGCTTCAGTCATGTCCACATAAAGTGCACTCAGSGAAGTCTTTCAGGATTTTTGATCAAAATCAGGAAAGGAAGAATGTTGTAAAATTGMAAAAACCCATTAAATTGTTAGTCCTTTTGCAAGCTTCAAAACAACAGTGATTTGAATTCAGGTCTGTAAATTGGCCTGAGACTTTTCCTTATTTTATCAAATTTCATTTATTRAAACCTATTTAAAAGGCTGATTTTTGATGACAAAAACTAGAGATGATGTCGTCTTTTTGAATAAATGGTTCTATGGCAAAAGCACTGCAGGTCTGCATCATAACCGAGTGGATTTTTATTTTTCAAATTTCTCCTTGTTTTTATTTCAACACAAAAAAAAAAATGTGTTGTGCTAAATTCCACCATGGTGATCTCTGGCTGCAACCTCAAACTGGATTATTCCCTGCCCACATGTCACCAGTAATAATCAAGACTTTGGAAACTAATCAAGGTTGTCATTTTTTCTCATATTGCCCACTACATTCAGTCGAGGGAAACAGGGTAGAGGAGCATTACATTTTAGCAAGTAGCTTTTTTGATGATGCGTGAGGAGCAAACAGCTCCTTTCTGCGTCTTCTTTGGCTTCAACACAAATAAAACACAATAAAATCATTCTTTAACAGCACAGTCTGCAAATATGACTCTCAAGATAAACAGGGAGGTAGAAAGTGCCACTTTCTCCAGCATAATTTTTCAGCGGAACTGTAGTTAATTGGATGTTAATTACATGGCCACAAGGCCACCTTCAGTGGGTTTCATACTTCTCAATCTTTGAGCCCAGCAACGTGTGACACAGCAATCATAAAATGTGATAAATGATTGAGGGAGGAACACCCATGTTGTGTTGTGCACCGGGTTGTGATTCACAGATCATTATAACTATAAAATCTGTCATTAGGGAGGTTTTCCTGCCATGAAAGTTCTCCTTTTAACATAAGAAATCAACCAGATTAGCATAAACAAAAGTCAATGTGAAGGCCCTCACCTCTCTATTCCTCTTAACTCATTACCTGAAGGTTTYCAGCATTAATTAGTTATCCAAACTAAAGGACTAAGAGTTAACCTTTGAGTGCAGGAGGCTTCTGATGGCTTTTTGTGGCCACACAAGCGTGAGCAGGAAGGCCAGCTTTGGCCTCTTCCCACCCAAAACCAGAGTATTTGAAGGACACTTACGGCTGGCACAGCTTGATAAGGTCCTGGTCGGTGGTGCCGGGTGGAAGGCCTCGAATGTACAGGTTGGTTTTACTCAACTGCTCTCCRCTGCTGTTGTTGCTGCTGTTGTTGCTGCTGTTTGTGCTGGGGCTGGGAGGAGCCATGGGGTGGGGAGCTGGTGCATAGGACTGCTGCAAACAGAGCAAAACAAAAAGGCTGTTACTGGAAAAGGCAAAAGCATTGCAGAAGCGTGTGCTTTACCCAGTTAACTCCAAATCCATGCTATTGCTGTCCTGCCCTCCCTGACCACTTCCGACTGCCCATTCCTATGGTGCCTGTACCCACACCCAATGCCTTTCAAAATGCAAAACAAACCAACATTTTGGGTTTAGCCATGACTATGAAGTGAGTTATTGCACTGTATTTTTTAAATTTGGAATTAAAGTAGCTAGATCACAAAACAAARCTCTGAAATGACAGGCACTCAAGGAGTAACTAGTATTAAAGATGTCATTAAAAACAACCTGTTCTAAGAGTACACTAAGACACAAGTAAGAATATCAAGCCAAAGGTTCAGAAGATGATGCCAGAAGCCTAGTTAGTCTTTTCTAAACATGAGGAGTACCCAGTACATGCACAGTCAGGTGGCAGAGAGTTGGCTRGTCTGAGAGAAAAAAAAATCCAAAGCAGCCTGAAAACACTCTGTTGTTACGGATGTCTTTCGCAATAGAGAAACAGGGCTTGGAAAAGATGATCAGGCCAAGACCTTCTGCTCTCAAAATCTTACCCACTTCTGAACAACCACAAACCACACACAGCAACTGAGAAATATTGCTTAAGAAGGGAGGCATTCTCACAGGAAAAAAAAAACAGTATTCTCCCCTAATTCTCTGGTAAATACATGCTGTGAAAAAACACCCACACGTTACAAAAATTACCTAAACATCTCTGATCTGAGGCAACAACAGGGAATTCTAGTTGTTGCAATCATCCCTGGCTCTCTGACCACCAGAGTATTTGCTCACAGCACAGAGTGCTTGCCAGGAGGACACAGGAGCGGTTGGAAGGAGGAGGCCATCCTGTCACCACTGTGACCCCAGAGAAGCTGGGATCTAGGGGAAAACTTGCAGGAATGGAGGATCCTCAGGACCGAGCTCCAGATGGGCAGCCAGGRGAACTGGAGTCAGAGCTCCAGGAATGTAACTCCCTGCTGAGAGYGAGAAAATCCCATTTCTGGAACATGATCAGCATGTTCTGCTAGCTTTATATGCAGTGACCATAGCAGGTAAATGTTGGACCAATGCTAAGTTAACCATGTTATGCTAATGGACTAATAAAAGCAAAACATATGCAATTTTCATTATAGCAGCCATGACACTCTAGTGACTTCTAATATGCTTATTCTGCATTTAGGCCTTAAACAGAAGGCCTAAATTWTTTAAGTCTGGGAGTAATTCTGATCATGCTAATCAACTGCCCCTTTAATGTGMGTGGCTCTACTTTACTGCTCATAATTATTCACTCACTAAATCATAGTCTTGGTAGATGCATGTTTCTAAATTAGTAGCTCTAAACTCTTCCAAACTAGTCCCTTTATTTAGAAGAACAAAAAAWTAGTTGAAGAATATAAGGGGAGCCTCAGTGACAGGTGAAGCTCAGAGGTTTCAATTAAATGAACACCACACTTGGAGTGATGCCTTTCCCCCTGGCCTTCTCCTTCCTTCTTCCCAGTTTCTCCCATTTAAAGCAGGAAAGAGGGAACACAGCATCGAGTGTCAAGACRTGAGAATTCCTCTGTAATCTCGCATGGTTGTAACGTGACTCAAGTAGGAGCCATTAAAAGGAAAAAACAGTTGTAGTGTGATCRCCATGCTAGCAAATAAATGACTTTCACTCTCATTTCCAGTAAAAGAGAAAGGGCACTGAGCTCCCTTCCCAAGTCTCTGCACAGATACTTTTGCTGACAATCAAAAGCACTTAATGCAGATGGATCATATTTCTCTGCACACACATTTTATCACTGGGTAATCCCCACCCACTCGAGCTTCAATGTCATTTCCAGAAATAGAGAGCTGAAGCAGCAGCCCTGAGTACCAGTACAGGGGAACACCTCAACTGAGCCCCAACAATGGGGACACATCTTGAAAATTAGCTCCATGCCATGGCCACTGCCCAGATGGACAACACTGCAGGCAACAGTAACCTGTGTTAAATATGCAGGCATCTATATATTACAGATATATCCTGCCTGAAAGCATATTTAAATCTCTGTACACTGCARGGCCAGGGAAGAGGTAGATATGACACATTTAACTTTAATATATCAAGAGCTCAGGAAACATCTCAAGGTAATCTTGTGCATTTAGAGCATTGCTAAGGTTAAATAAATAGACAAATAAAGGTCAAAGCTACATTCTTACTTCTTTACCCTGCACCTCCAAGCTTACCATGYACAATAAATGCACGTAAATGACGTAGAGCAGTGAGAGAACTTTTCATAAGYCAATGAAGTGCTGTGTACTTCAATTACTAATTGCTATTATTATATATGTCTTAGCAGGGGATAATGAGGAAATGTCCCATTCTCACACCAACCTAATAAGCAAGAAAAAGAAAAGAATTAAGTGGAAATTTACCTTCGAAATACAAAGAGCAATTTTCATTCTATTATAAGATCTTTATCCTCACACAGAGGAAAACACTGGGGGCCTAATTCTAATTTAAGCATAAGACATTTTATCCCTCTCAGCCAGCTGAAAGGGATGTAGAAGTGGACACAAATTACATTTACACTAATTTTGAGACCACAGCAATTAAAAAAAAAAAAAAATAAGAAAAACTCCTCAGTATACACTGAGAGAATGAGGCCACACTACAGGTTGCCCCTCAAGCAAGAGCTGCTTGGACAACAGGCACACGTGGATGCCTGGGTTCACAGCAGCATCCTCAGAGATGCTCTAAGGTGGGCAGAGAGGCAGCCACACTCCACTTTGGAGGACGTTGATCTTCTCAGCCCAGCAAACACYGCTACACTCCAAACCCTCTTCACTAATAAATCTCAGCCACTGCAGCCTACAGTAATTTCCATGCATATCCAATACCCCAGAACACCATCTGCAGAAAGATTACAAAATTGCCTGTACTGAGGCTGATGACATCTTCTGGCTGGTTGCCAGACTAAAAGCTTCAGGTCAGAAGAAAGCTTCAAATTCTTGTTTCCTGAGCCGCTGAATGTATGACTGATGGCAAAAGTAGGTACTTTGCCTCCAAATGAGCAAAGGATCTGGTTTGGTAATCTCCAAGTAATAATTGGAGTGAAAGAAATAAGTGGCAACCTAATGATGATGCCAGATATGGACCACTTGGTACAGAATGTTGGAGCGTAACAAAGTGGGCATTGTCTGGGGAGCCACGTGCACACACAACAGCAGGAAATTTGTGTCTTGTTCTCATGTTTGAACCCTTCCATGGCTGGGGGCAAAGCACTTCTCTGCTTTGAGACCCAGAAGGAGCACCAGCAGCGAAGACTGATTCAAACCAGCCTGACACTAGCAGTAGAAATCTGAAAAAGATGTTGTGCCACCACAACTGAGCACAGGACCTGCAGCTCTAGGAAAAAAAAAAAAAAAAAAAAAAAGTGGGCAAAATCTAAATGTTTCACTTCAAACGAGGGTTGGAATTTAGAGCTGGTTTTGCCATAAATTTTGCACATAACCAATGCACCCAATTCATTTTTCAATTCTCATGCTTCATTAATCAGTGGAGCATGTGTGGGGAATGAACTGGTTTGTAGATCATTCCAAGCAGCTTATTAATTTAGCATGGACGGCTAATAGGATTTGTTTTCATCTTTGAAAAATGAATGAAATTTCTTCTTTTTCATTATTTAAAAGTGAGAAATTAATGTGCTAATTCTTATCCATTTTCAGGAACGCACCCTTGTGCTTAAACMCTACAGTTCAATTCTCTGAAACAAAGAGTCCCATGAAACTGCACACAGCTAAGCATGAATAATGAGATACACCTTGGTCTTTCTAAGTAAATAACCCAGAAATGCTCAACCAGAAGCCTCTTGGATACTAAATGAACAACGTTCCTCCTTCCAACATCCAGCCTCCTTACACAAGAGCAGTATTTATCTTTCCATGGCAACCAAGTACTCTTAGGTAGTTTTTCACTAGTTGCTAGTTTAGACTAAAGTATTTTCCTTCCAACGCAAAACACTACTTAAAAAGACAAATTTCAAATATTTTTCACGTACAATTCTTTTTGGATGGGAATCACAGGCCCCAGATGCCAAGTTGTAGAGTCTGCTTTATTAGCAGCAGCTGGCTCCTTGGCAGGCTTCTGAGGCGGTCGGGGCTTGTGGTTTTGGAATGGCCTCAGAGCCTAGGCTGCAGCTGAACAGCTATGCTAATGCACTAGCCAATTTGTTTGTAGTCACCTTTGGCTATCCCAGATTTGTACTCTTTTATCCACTTGAAAGGGGGGTCTTGGAAAGATTCCCTATTAACACCGATAAGTTGACTTTTCCTATCATAGTTCATATTTCACATGAAAAAATGAGCACAACTCACAGTCCTACATTAAAACATGCCTTATTTAAGCTATTGTGAACACACACTATCCATTTCACTCTGAATGGAGTGTTTTCCAGCTGCTAGAGTCATCCAAGTGCTCAATTGCAACACAATTCCCTTCGCTCCCAATTGAGAAAAATAAGACAAAGTAAATAAAAATAAATTGTGCAAATACCACTTTACAGCTCACATTAGGAAAACACTGTTCTCTCTACACCCTACTGTACAAAGGAGTCATTTTTGTGAGCTGGAGGGTTCTTACTGGCCAGTTATAGAAAGGATGAGAGGATGCCACCAACTTTCAGTCTGTTGATGGGATTTTGGAGCTGAGTGAACAGAAAATCTCCTATTAAGCAAAAAACAATCATCACAGTTGAAGAGAAAACAGAACGGTAACGAAAATATAGTAAAAAGAATTAGATCAAAGTCACAGCAGCTCTCCTGCCTACAGTTTGCTTCCTCAGTGAGGAGCAGCACCAGAAGGAAAGCTGTATTTCTCATCCATAGACAGGTGAAACGGAAAAGTGAATAAAATATGAGCATTGAAGCAGTCAACACAGACACCTCACGTATTTTAGAAAGGCGGCAGTCAAGGGAGCTCGAGTTATAAT